TATTTGATATTTTTCTATCTTTTTTATATAGACCTGTTTTGCTATGAACTTCCCTCTCAGAACTGCCTTCACTGTGTCCCATAGGTTTTGGTCTGTTGTGTGTCCATTTTCCTTTTTTTTCCAGAAACTTTTTGATCTCTTCTCTGATCTAATTGATAACCCATTCACTATTTCATAGCAAGTTATTCAGTCTCTATAAATTTCAATGTTTTTGAGTTTTGTCTTTAAGGATAGTTTCTAGTTTCAAGCCATTGCGATTTGAGAAGGTGCTTGATGTGATTTCAATTTTCTTGAATTTGTAGAGGCTTGTTTTGTGTCCTACCATGTAGTCTACCTTTGTAAATGTTCCATGTGCATTTGAAAAGAATGTATATTTGGCTTCTTTGGGGCAAAAGGTTCTGCATATATCAAAGTCCATTTGATCTAGAGTGTTGTCAAATGCCACACTCTCCTTGTTGATTCTTTGCTAGGAATATCTATCCATTGTTTACATTGGTGTGTTAAAGTCCCCTATTATGAGTGTGTTGCTTTTGATATCTTTCTTGAAATCCTCCAAGATTTTCCTTATATATTTGGGTGCTCTTATGTCAGGTGCATATGTTTACAAGGGTTATATCTTCTCTATGGATTATTCCATTAAGCATTTTGTGGTATCCTTTTTTAAATCTCTTTTTATGCCTTTTTTTTGAAACCAATTTAGTCTAAGGTAAGTATTTTTATACCAGCTTTATTATTTTTTTTCATGACCATTTGCTTGGAATATTCTTTTCCATCCCTTCAATTTCAGTCTGTGTAGGTCTTTTGTTCTGAGATCAGTCTCTTGTAGACAGCATACATGCAGCTTCTTATCCATTCAGCTACCCTACCCTATGGAGCATTGAATCCATTTACATTGATAGCTGTTATTGATAGGTACTTACTCATTGCCTTCTTTTTACCTTTGTACCCCCTTCCCCCCTCTTTCTCACTCTCTCTCTTCATTTTCTTAAAGCAGTCCCTTAGCATGTCTGGCAAGCTGGTTTGGTGGAGATGTATTCTTTTAGCCTTTTTTTGTCTGAGAAACTGCATATTTCACCTTCCATTTTAAAATGAGAGCCTTGCTTGGTAGAGTAGTCTTGGTTGCAAGCCTTTACTTTTCATTACTAGGAATATTTTTTGTCATTCCCTCTGGCTTATAGTGTTTCTGTTAAGTAATCAGTTGATAGCCTTATGGAACTCCCTTGTATGTTACTATCTGTGTTTCCCTGCTGCCTTTAAGATTCTCTCTTTGTCTTTAAATTTTGCCTTTTTAATTATAATGTGTCTTGGAGTGGGCCTCTTCAGGTTCATCTTCACTGGTATCATCTGTGCTTCCTTGACTTGCATGACTATTTCTCTCATCAAGTTAGGGAAGTTTTCTGTCATTACTTTTTCAAAGAGGTTTTCTTTTCTTTTCCTTGTTCCTTTTGACCTTCTTGTATCCATATGATACAAATAGTATTACCTTTCATGTTGTCCTGCAGCTCCCTTAAACCCTATTTGTTAATTTCAAGTCTTTTTTTGTTATTCTGTTGCTCTATCTGGGAATTTTTTTCTACCTTGTCCTCCAGCTTGCTGATTCAGTCCTCTGCTTCATCTAACCTGTTTTTAATCCCTTCCACTGTTTTCTTCATTTCAGATATTGTATTTTTCATTCCCTCTTGGCTCTTATTGATAGTTTCTATGTTGTTGTTTTTTTTCTTTCATGCTGGTGGAGTTATTTGTAATTCTCAATGAGCTTATTGAGCATCCTTATAGCTATTATTTTGCACTCAATGTCTGATAGTTTGCTTGCCTCAATTTTGTATAGCAGTCTTTCTGGGGGTTTCTCCTTTCCTTTTGATTGGGGGTTGTTACTTTGTCTCCCCATTTTAGGTGACTCTTGTTGTGTGTTTCTGTGTATTAGATTAATGTGCTTTGATTCCCTGTCTTCACGGTATGACCTTCTGTGGTAGACCTGTGGGATTCAGTGGTGCAGTCTCCTTGATATCCTGAACGTGATCCCCTTGAGCTGCCCTTTATGCTGTTTATGTGGGCTCTCTGGTTGTAATTGGGTTTTGGTTGTTGTTGAGTTGTTCTTTTGTGGGTACTTCCCTCCAGCTGGCCAAGAGTCACTCCCCCCAGTCCTGTTATGTGCTGTTGTACAGGTGCTGCCAGGACAAGATGAAACAGCACAGGTAACAAACCCAAACCTGAAAAAGTAACACCCATCCACAACCACACTAACAACAGCAAATGAGCCAATATTAATAAAGGTGTAAAGATAGTAAGACTATTATAAGAAGGGAAAAATGAATATGATTGCTGAAAGAAAAATGATTTTGAGAGAGTAGAGGGAGGAGCCATAATAAGAGTAGAGAATAGAGACAAGGTGAAAAGAGAAAGAAAAATTTACATTGTAAATAAAAAAGGGAGGGAAGAAGACGGAATGGGGTAAAAGAAGAGAAGTGTATAGTATTAGATTTAAACAGAAATTTAAAAAACTTTATATAGAGAGAGAATGAAAGGAATCAAATTGGAGAAAAAGATCCAGCACTGCGCTATCAACAACAAATGGGCAAAGATTAATATAGGTGGGATGGGAATAAGAGGGAATAAAGAAAGACGTCTAGAGGAAAGAGAAGTGATTTTGAGAAGACAAAGGGAGAAGGAATACTAAGAGTGAAGAATGAAAACAGGCTAAGACAAGGAATAGTTAAAATTTGAAACAAAAAAAAAAAAGAGAAAGGGCAGGAGGAAGGCAAAATGGAGTAGGAGAGGGGAGCAGTAAAATTTGAGATATGAAATACAAAAATAGTGAAGACCTAGAAATAAAATCGAAGAAATGCAACAACCACCTCCATATTCACAACCAATGAGCAAAGACTGATAAAGGTGGAGAGAGAATAAGGGTATTTCAAAAATGGGAAAAAGAATGTGATACAATTAATGACAAGAAAAATGGTTTTGAGAGGTGGGGGGTAGGAAGAAATAATAAGAGTGTGGAATGGAAAGAAGTTGTAGCAAGAGAGAAAACAAAATTTAAAATGGAAATTGGAAGAAAAAATAAAAGGTAAAATGGAGTAAGAAAAGGGAGGAGCAAAACTTGAGATTTGAAATACGCTATATTATAAAAACGAGTGACCTAATAGGCACAAACTTCCAGGACAAGAAATGAATGTTAAACAGCTATGCAGGAGAGAAAATAACACAAATCATGAAGAATACAGTGGATTTCATCTCAGTAGAATCTAGTGTTTACCACTGTCTTCTCTTTGTGGATCCACTCTTGGTGATGTGAGATGGTGTCCCAGTCTGGCTCTAGGGAGCCTGTTTGATGCTACCAGGGGTCCACAGTCTGTGGCTGCCTCCTTCAGCTGTTAATCTAGTCACTCTAATCAGCAGTCAGGTTTAAGCAGCACAGGGCAGGGCAGTGGAATTCCTGCAGGCAGGGCTATTGCTTCCCCCCAGGCTGATGTCACTTGGAAGGGAGTGCTCTGCCTGAGAGAGATGGCTCGTGTAATGTTGGGGATGACTCAGTACCAGGATCCTGGCAGCTGCTCCCTCAGTTCTCTTCCCAAAGCCACCATCCCCAGACTCTCTTCAAGGTGTTTCTAGTCTACTCTTCCCTCCCTTTGCTGGAGCTCAGGGTAAGTGGCTACAAATGAAATTTTGTGCATTGGTCCTTTAAGAGGCTCTCTGTGACTCCAGCCATTTGTCGCTGGCAGAGAGAAACCCTGCTGCCTTTCATAGCTGGATGTTATCTGGGTACTTTTTGAGCTCTGGTGCTGCAGGCTGGGGAGCCTAGCTTGGCGTTTAGACACCACACTTCCCAGGGGGAACCCCCTAGCTGCTGAAATATCCCCCTGGCACTCCAGCTACCTGTGCGAGCCCAGCCAGCCCTCTCACGTTGCCTCTGCACTCCCTACCAGTCTTGTTTTGGTGAAGTGGTTTCTTCTGTCTGTAGTTATAAGGCTCCTCTCCAGCTATTGTTCAGTTGGTTATTCTGGATGATTTCTCTACAATTTAGTTGTAATTCCAGACTGGTCCTGGGAGGAGGTTAGTGTAGCTTCCACTTACTCTTGTACGCTCTTGGATCTCCTTTATTGTTTTTCTTTTGTTTTTGTTTTTTTAATATGCAAAGCCTTATAGATACAGGTGAAATGCCCCATCCCCATCTTGTTTTCCTTCTTTCCTCCTGAGTTTGGTGTGCTGCCTTGTTCATGTTTTTGTATTTTTTACTACCTATACATGTGTAAACTTATACAATATGCAGTATTATTTTGAGTTATATGTCTCTTCTTACAACATTCTTTTTACATTCAATATTATTTTTCATGTATCATCTATTTTAATTCATGTAAATCTAGTTCATTACTTTTAACTTTCATGTATAAATATGTAATTATTCATTTTTATATGAAAGAATTGAAAAAGAATATTTTCTATTTGTTTGTTTTTATGCTTTACAGTCAGTCCTACTTTGTGAAAAGAGATTTGTCCATTGGGAAAAAGTTGAACTGATGGCTTAATGTCCTTCTAGCCCTAAGATTCAAAATTCAGTATAATGAAACTAAAATTTTTTAACCTCTGGGAGTACAACAATTAAGGGATCGTCCTTGCTCAAGGAATTCACTCTTTAAGGACTCTGTGAACTTTGTGTTATTTAATTGTTTATAATATCATATTTAGGCATCTGTAAAACTTGGCTAGCTTAGGCAATCACCTTTACTATATGGGGCATTGTCTGGCATATCTGTAGTTTTGGGTATAATTTTCAACCCTTAAGTCTGAGTGTTAAGTAATGATTTTTAATGAGATGACTTACGTATCCAAGAGCATTTGAGATTCTTCTTCAGAGTCACTTTGCCCATTCATTGTTTATGTTAAAGCAATGTTTTCTGGTTCATTCTTTCTATTGAATTTTGCTCTTTGAAAAATTAATAATTGTCACTTATAGTATAAATCTGTGTGTTTTATGTCTATGTATATTGTGTTTTTAGGAAAAAGGCCCAGCTCAAGAAAAAAAGTGGCATGCCTCAGATTAATGAACAAATGCTATTTCACGGTACCAGCAGTGAATTTGTGGAAGCAATTTGCATTCATAACTTTGATTGGAGAATAAATGGTATACATGGCGCTCTCTTTGGTAAAGGTAATTATCAAAATTCCAAGTCCAATTTGAGTCCTGGGAGCAAATCTCCTCTCTTTGAAGACAATTGATTGTTTTGTAATTCAGGGGTTTGATAGTCATTCATTAAGTTAAAAGTTACTGTACTAGGTTCCTGGCACACCCTCGGAGTTTCTGAGCCATAGAAAAGCCACTTCCTGCATGTACAAGATAGAAGACCTTTTTACTGGATTTAATCGCATTCCACTCCCAGTCATTCACATGGGGCATCATGTCTGTGTTAGCTGATTTTTGCATTACATTTAATTTTCATGTATAAGTCCTTTCCATGGATAAAACTAAAACTGTTCTATGTCAGATATAGAGAGAACTATAAAATAAATTAATTACATTGCACACAGGTCTAGTACTAGTATTTTTTGTTTGTTTTTTAGCAAAAGATAGGTAAGAATATTAATGAGCAATAAGGAATAATGGGGGAAATCCTCACCTTTTTTCTAATGTTGTGAAAGTCCAAGTTCTCCAATTTATGCCCACTACTCAAGCACATTAAGGAGAGAGATGAGGGGGAAAGGTAAGGGATGGACATTTATTTTGCTGGTTCTTACTTTGCACCTTACCTCCATCAACAGGACTGACTATCATTTAAAATCAGGATGTGCTGTAGTTTTAAAAAATAAATTAATTTTTAAAATAACTACTGAAAAGACCATTTCATTTATTTAACTGTAAGAGGATCAGAAAAGTGCTACATAAATCCTGTCAGTATTGGGTAATATGAGACTTTGAAATTCTTTCAAAAATTTTTTTTGAGTAAGCATTTCCATAATGATGTCAGTCTCACAGACCTGACTCCTTGGAAGAGTCAGCTGCTTTACTGAGTTTTCATATTTAGGCAATGAACCAGTGGATTGTTCTTTTGGGATGGTTAGCTGTGAAGAGCATTGCACTCTCCTGGACAATAGAGTTCTATTATTTTCAAAAATAATATTGAATTGTTATTCTGTATCACAGAAATGTGTTTTGGGGGGTGATTTAAAATCATCTCTGTAGACCAGTAGTTTTCATTGCTGTACAGGGTAGTAGGGTAAGGAAAGCGGTAGAAGGAAATAGAAATGGGAGGGGGTCCAAATAATTAAAACTCCCTGGCTGGTGTGGCTCAGTGGATTGAGAGCTGGCCTGCAAACCAAGGGGTCACCAGTCCAATTCCATGTGTGGGCACATGCTTGGGATGCGGGCTGGGTCCCCAGTTGGAGGCGTAAAAGAGGCAATCAATTGATGTTTGTCTCACACATCAATGTTTCTCTCCTATTTCTCCCTCCCTTCCCTTCACTCTAAAAATAAATAAAAATCTTTTAAAAAAACCAAAACAAACTCAGGTCCTCCTACACTTACAATCACAGAAATAGTTTGTATGTGTCTTATATGTTGGGTTTCTTTGTAAGATTTCTTTTGAAAACAAAGTCTGGCAGCTACATCTTTGTCCAGGTGGGATGGTGTTGATGTTGGGGACTGGTCTATACAAACAAACCTATCCCTGTGGCAGTCTGAATCGCAGCTGTCCCTAACAGAGGAATTCCTATTCTTTTCTTAAAGATCTGCATAGGAGGAAATTCCACGTCTATTTTGGTTATATAATTCCACGTGTCTATTCCCCTAACAATTAGAATGTTTTTGTTTGTGTTTCATGTATTCTTCAGAGTAATCTTGGCTTTTTTTTTTTTTTTTTTGGTTCTTTTTGTTTAAGGAACCTATTTTGCTAGAGATGCTGCTTACTCCAGTCGCTTCTGCAAAGATGACATAAAACATGGAAACACATTCCAAATTCATGGTGTAAGCTTGCAACAGCGGCATCTATTTAGAACATACAAATCTATGTTTCTTGCTCGAGTGCTAATTGGAGATTATATAAATGGAGACTCCAAATACATGCGACCTCCTTCCAAAGACGGTAGCTATGTGAATTTATATGACAGCTGTGTGGATGACACCTGGAATCCAAAGATCTTTGTGGTGTTTGATGCAAACCAGATCTATCCTGAGTACTTAATAGACTTCCATTGATTTGACTTCCAAATCTCAGTGGTCAAAGAAATTTATTCTTTTTTGCAGGAAGATTTGCTCTCCTGTCATCTAGCCACTAAATGTTAATTATCTCACACTTTTGAAACTGATATGAAAAAAAGTGGCCTCCATATAAAAAGACATACTGACTTTAAGGTTGGTTTTTTGTTGTTTTGTTTCTGTTCGTTATTCAGTCTTGTGTGTTAAAGAGCGACACCATTGCCATTTTAATACCTTCCAGTGAAGGATAACACTCCGAATTGAATCACCTGAGTCTTAATTAACATAGTCATTTAGAGTTTTTAAAGTTTATGTGTGTGTATCAGGATGAATGTTTTCAGTTCAGGTAGACTTATTCATCAATATGTTCAGAAAATAAATATATAGACATAAACTTGTTCCTTCAGAGGAACTGATCCTTTGTAAATTGAATTCTGATATTACTCTCCACCAAACAACATATTGCTTTGTTGGGCTTCTGAAGAGGCGATTTGAAAACTTGAAGCAGTATGAGTACCTTGAGAGAAGTCAGAAATAAGAAAATTATTTGCGGTGCTACCATACAAGCCAGAAGGAGAAAGTCAAGGTAGAGTGTCCTGCTTCTGAGTGCAGGGGACAGCAGGCCGCAGCCCCAGACTTGCTCCTGTGACTCTCCTGTCGCCTGCCTCTGAACTGACGAATGCTGCAGCTGTGATCATGCATCCACGGAGCTCTGGAATTCTTGTACCAAGACTTGTGCACAAGGTGTTTATAGTAGCTTTAAAGTGAAACTTTTATTTATTATTCAGAACATTTACTTACCCTTTGTTTTGGAGTTCCTACAGTGAGTACTTCTGAGAGATTTTAATCTGCTTCCCCATGACCATAGACACACAGCTATTCAACAATGGTTTATAAAATTCTTATTTCCCCATTTTGAATCATTGTTGAAAGCATGGGATGCGTGGAACAAATCTGGTGTATTCCTCTGAGGAGCAATTGAAAATCTGCTAACTCTCTTGGAAAGTTAGACAAAATTCTTAATCATGTTTAATGGAAGTTTGTTTATCTATTCCGTCCGTTTTGCTATCCTGTTCTAAGGAGGAGAAAGTAATGTTGCAACAGCTTCCTGCCCCTAAAGGTGTTTTAGCAGACAATGGGAAACAACTGGGCACAAATGTTATATAGCAGTTCAGGTGTCAGATGGGTGATTGGCCAAACAATTGTTCAGGTTTTTTCCAACCTTGATTTTCGATGACTACCAGTTTGGGGGTGGGGGGCGGTAGGGTTGGGGGAGAGCACTTGTATCAAGTCTTTCCCAGACAAGTTTTTTCTAATTCAGTCTAATACTGAATTTTCTCTTCATTATTATAACCCGGTTTGGCTGAGAGGTAGTGAACATAATTTAACTTTTCAAGAAAAACCCAATAAATGTCCCTGTCTGCATTGTCCAATTCAGTCATTTGAATTGGGAAGGCATCTAGGAATAATAAAAATAGAGAGTATGGAACAAGGTTAGGTGTGGTAATTCTTTACCTGCCATATATCCCTACATGTGTCTTATGGCCCAGAACACTCGTGATTGTGCAGTCAAAAGTAAGTAGTACATAGGAAATTGTGTGTCTAATACTTTGAAACCAAGTGACAACAGAGACTGCCTGACTCAGATGTGCAGACTAACAGTTTTGATGAAGTGCTATGAATATTTAGAAAGAACATGTTTTAGAAACATGCAGAAATCATCCTGGAAATAATGGGAGAAAAGTCCCCAGACTGCCTTGTGAGTGGTAGCACACCATGCTCTAGCCTTGTTCGCAAAAAACCATTTTAGAGACATTAGGAATTTAGATTTTGAAAATTTTTTTGTGCTGTTTGTTTCCTTTTACATATCAAAAATGTTTAAATAGTCTCCCCTTCAATATGGCTGTCTTTTTTCTTATTTAAAATGATTGCCTCTGCCATCGCTTGACTGGAATAGCTCTTGCAGCGTTGGGGTTATGATTCTGTTAGACGTGTGCAGATCTTATCTCAGGGTGGCTGAGAGCCCAGAGCCGAGATCTGCACGGCAGTCCGAACTCTGAACTGAATTAGTTGGCTCATATGTACTAAATACAATGAACTGCAATAGACATTGTAAGAAAGAACTGTTTGAGAATTTACTGTCAACTCCCCTTTTATAAGAAAGAGACAATTTTGATAAATTTTTTCACATGATAGCTCTGAGTAAATTGATACTGAAATTCAATTTCTTTGTTTTGATCAGTGGATTGAGTTGAGAATCATAACGGTCAGTATGTTATGTATCACTGGACTGGACACAAGCATTTGTCATCTGTTCCTCTTGTCATCACTTGGTATGGATGGGAGAGTGAAGAGAAAGCCATTCCAGGTTAAAAAATAAATGATTTAAAAAATTCTACATTAAATAAATTTCAGCTGAGAGTCACTTTCCTTTTTCACTTTGGTGATAACCTCAGGGTTAAAAAATGTGTTTATTAGAAAGTTTCATAAATCTTGCAGTTATGAACAGGAAGGTTTTGTATTAATGCAACTTTTATTTCTTATGGTGATGATAAAGAATTTGGAGCCATTTTGATATGTGAAAATATTATTTTTACATGTGGTGATTAAAGCTTTCCATAGCAGGTCTCAGTTGTCTGTGTGTGCCATATATTTGTTTCTGTGATTTCTGTGTCTCATGTCCACCTCGCCTTATTTACACCTAAGTTTTCATCTCAAACTTAATGGACTTTTAAGGACTCTATTACTTAAAACTCTTATGTGACCCACTTGCAGATAGGAAGAGTCTCCTGTTCTCAGTTTGAATTACCCTGAACAATAGTTTATCAGATAATCTCTGAGGAAAATTATTTACTTGGTGCTATTGGAAATGCCAAAACAGAACAAGGCCTAATGCCTATGACCAGCCCTCTGCTCTCAGTGTGTGCTCCCCCATGGCTCTGAGGAGCAGTTCTGGAGGGTGAGAATGCTTCTTGCTGTTCATCCTAGGTCCAACCAGCTCCTCCTGGTATGGCTACAGTAATTCCTTTTGAAGCAAGTTAGACATTTCATTTGATCTATAATCTTCTATTGGCAAAAAAGGGAAGGTATCAAAAGATAGCTTAATTTTAGAGCTGAGAGAAATGAAAGACAGAATAATCAAGGCTTACCTGTGGAACAAATCAAGTTTTCCATCTACTAAACTCATGTCCCATTCCGTCTAAATGTTGAACTACTATTAAAGTTCATTGTGATGAAAAGTCAACTGAGCTTTGATTAATGATGTAGAAATGTGACATTCTTACGAGTTTTGTTTTTATGCTGTCAGATCCTTGAGGTCCCCTCCCAGGCCACAGGAACAGCACTGGGGACAGCCTGATCATGGTCCTCATTGTGCCTTAGTCCCAGATTGTTCTCTTTCTATCTGGAGGATATTGGCTTATTTCTCAAAAAAACATTTTATTTTGCTTGAAACAGAGATAGTCCATTTCCAGATGAAATTGTAGGTTTTGTTCTTGTAAAAAAAGGTTAAAAGGGAATGAAAAATAGCAAGGAAAGGAAAAACAAAAAAGCCTTGTCAGAAATTATTTTTGTTTAGAAACTTTAGCAAAAGTGATTTTACTATTTTTAGCCCTTTGTACTAAGATACAGGGAGAGGTTTGGTGAGGCAAGTTGCCCTGCCTCACTGCCTATGAATAATTTTATGATGTTTGGGGCAACAGTGATGGAAGAAACTAATATCTCAAAGGAATATGAAATACATGATTATTTGGGAGCTTCCTGGTTGTGTGAGTAATAAATATAGGAGTGGTGAGCTCTAAGTATTTAGGAAAGGTGTCCAAAGTTCATCCATTAACCTTCACTTTTTTGCAGAGGTAGTTCTCATGTTTTCAAAGTCTGCAGGCTGGATGGTAGTTTATATAGTCTCTCTCTTCCCCTTGCCCCTTCCTATCCCGAACTGTACTTGATCCGTCCCAGATAAAAAGATGGCTTGTTTATTCCCAACACCCAGTCAGTAACTTCCTTGGTATAACCGTTTCCTTGCTATAACTGAGTCTCCTGCTGTAAGATTATGTAATCCGTTTTCTCAGCTCTAATTGCTTGGCTTTCATCCTTCAGCACTGCCAGCTAAGCACTTGGCTTTTAGTTGAACTTTCTCATTGTGTGGCTGTGTATCTAAGAATTTAGCATTGGTCTCATTCAATTTTAAGTGGCTTCTCATGAAATCGCAACATAGGGTTATGCCAAAGACATTTGTGTATTCTGCAGCTAAAAAGTCTTACTCTATCCTCTACCAAGAGGTTATACAGTTAACTGATTTGGACCCTGGCTTATGCTAACTTCACTTTGGTAAGCCAGTTTAGGACAATCACAATCCAGAATGTAATTCAAATTATTTTTGCAATATTAACTATAAATCCAGATTGTATTTCTTGTGTTTTTCTGTTCCTTTTTTAAAAATACCGTTTTTTTTGGTTGGAAGGAGGTATTAAAAATATATTAATCTATTTTTAGAGAGACGGGAAGGGAGGGAGAGTCAAACCAGCAACCTTTGCTTTGTGGGTTGACTGGTGGGTTGACACCTATCAGGGCCAATTCTGTAGTTTTTAATGTATTCACAATATTGTTCAGTTGTGACCACTAATTCCAGAACATTTCATCAACCCCAAAAGGAACCCTAACCCATCAGCAGTCATTCCCCATTCTCCTTTCCCCCTTGGCCCTGGCAACCACTAATCTGCTTTCTCTCTCTATAAATTTTCCTGTTCTGTACATTTCATGTAAATGGAATAATTCGCTATGTAATCTTTTGCATCTGATTTCGTTCACTTAGTATAACATTTTTAAGGTTCATGTTATAGCATATGTCAGTACTTCATCCCTTTTAATGGTTGAATAATATTCCATTACATGGATATACTACATTTTGTTAATTCATTGATGGACATTTACGTTTCCACTTTTTGATTATTATGAATACTTTCCTTTGAATGTTCATTTACAAGTTTTTGTGTGGATATGTTTTCAGGTCACTTGGGTCTATACCTAGGAGTGGGATGGCTAGATCACATGGTAACTCTCTCTAACTTTTTGAGGTACTGCCAACCTGTTTTCAGAAGTAGTTGTATCATTTTCATACCCACCAGCAATGTATAAGGGTTCCAGTTTTCTCCATGTCCGCACCAGCAGTTGTCTGTTGTTTTGATTGTAGCCATCCCAGTGGGTGTGATGCAGCATCTTACTGTAACTATTTTTTAATTACATTTTATTGATTATGCTATGACAGTTGTCCCAATTTTTCCCCCTCTGCCCCCCTCCGCCTGGTACCCCTCTTCCCTACAGCCATCCCCCACCCTTAGTTCATGTCCATGGGTCATGCGTAGAAGTTCTTTGGCTTCTCCATTTCCTGTACTGTTCTTAACATCCCCCTGCCTATTTTGTACCTACCAATTATGCTTCCTAGTTCCTGCACCTTTTGTCTCCTTCTCCCCGTTCCCCCTTCCAGCTGATAACCCTCCAAATGATCTCCATATCTATGATTCTGTTCTGGTTGTTTGCTTAACTTTTTTTTTTTTTTTAAATATATTCAGTTGTTGATAGTTGTGAATATGTTGCCCTTTTAATGTTCAT